AAAGAAGAGCGCCGTATTGGAGTAGTTTAGGCCAGGGAGCGTCTCCTTGGAGAGCAGATTGAAATCGTTGTTCGGCTCCTTGAAGCCCAGCCACGTGAGGTAGGCCCGAAAGGCCACATTGAGGGCGGCACTGTCGGCGATCAGCTGCCGCGTGGCGCTGACATTGGCGTGCAAATACTCCTCCACCTGGCGGCTGAAGCATTCGCTTCGATCGTGATATCGCCAGGCCGTCAGACCATCCCAGTGGTCCCGCTCCAGCAGGTCCACGGACCAGTGTGGATCATCGAAGGCCATGGCCATCTGGCGTGCCACTGCCACGCCCAGCGTCGCATAGCGCAGCGATTGCCCGTAGTGCGGATCGTAGAAGGGAGCCTGCAGCAAGCCCAACCCTATGTCGATCTGCCGCTGGACGGGGCGGTACCGCACTCGTGCCTCATACGCCTCCACGGGGTCACTGGGCGCGGGCAGTTCCTCCTCGAAGAGGCGACCCATTTGCTGTTCCTGCACAGCGCCCAGCAGCTGACGGAGATTCGACCAGTAGTTGTTTCGCTCCAGCTGCAACTTGTATGTCAACGGCCGCTCGTAGTGGGGCAAGTGAAGCTTCAAATCCGACAGCTTGCGCTGTGCCACACGCCGGCTGCCCTCCTCCAGCCACTCGGCGCTCAGGCTCTGCTTCAGAGCGTCCTGCAGCTGGCCATAGAGTGTCTCCAGATCCTTGCGCGCATCCTCGCTGGCAAACTGCCGCGCATAGAGTTCCCCCAAAGCCGTGGGCAGGTGCTGCTTGATCAGTCCCAGGCACACGTTGCGCCTCAAGTGCGTGCGATCCTCCAGGGGAAAGGTCACCGCGGACAGTGCCCGATACATGATGTAGTTGGCCACTTGGCTGGAATTGTGAGCGGCCACTGTGCGCTGCAGCTGGCGGTAGTACTTGGGTGCGGCCATATACACTGGCTTGAAGATCACTTTCCCATAACTAGCCGTCACATACGACTCTAGGTTCAGTTCGTAGAGTTTGGAGAAATTCGCAAGGGTCTTGCGGGTGTAATTTCCAGCGTAGAGCTGCTGTTCGGCATCCCAGGGGGAGTCGGAAAAGTCCTGCATCATGCCGCCGCATAGCTCGTGCTCGAAGCTCAGAATGTCGGCGGCCAAACGGGCGGCTGCATCATTGCTGACAGCCAGCCAGGCCTTCAGTTCAGCGGCCACCCGCCGCTCCAGCGGCTCGTAGGCCATGTCGCGGATGTCGAGGCGGTTCTGGGTGCACAGTTTCCTGGGTATCAGGGTGCTCGGTTCGCTCAAATAGATGCTGTTCTCATGTACATTCTCATAGTTGTAGCCGATCCTTAGACCAATCAGTATATCCAGCCCGTAGCGGCGCCTCAGCTCCCCCAGCACCTTCAGCCAGTCGTAGTCGTGATGATGCACCTCCCAATTGGATCCAGGAACGGCGGGAAAGCCACCATTCTGTTGGATCAATTCGCTGAGGAACTGCTGCTGCTGCTGGCTCTGCTGTGCCTGTGCCACCAGGCAGGACTTGTAGAACTCCTTGGCCTGCCTGGCCACGCCGCTGTCCTCCCGATGGGCAGTCTCCTCCAGCAAACGTAGCAGATCCACATCTGTGCGCTGGTGCAGCTGCAGCAGGGGGCCGGCTGCCGCTTGCCAGCCACCGCAGGCATACTCGTAGAAATCCGTACACGGATCGACACTGAGATTCATGTGCGAGCGCATCTCCTTGCCCTTGGCATTACGCAGTGTCTGTTCGGTTTGGTAGATGCGCTGGAAACTGCTGCTGCCAGTCGGGGTGGTGGCATCGGTCGCTGCGGAGTGGCAGAGCTCCTTTTGGAGCAGGAACAGCAGAAGGCCAAGGAATGGCCAGGCCCTGGAACAGTCCGACATGCTGCCGGAGCTCTGTCGGTGAAGCTTTCGACTGACAGCCAGCAAAGAGTCGTCCCAAAGAGAGACTTCTGCTGATAGCCAAGAAGCGAGGGTCATTCCGGGGGTTATCTCTCGCGAGACTAAATGTAAAATAAAACCAAAAGGGGGGAACTAAATTGCTTAATTATAGAACACAACGAACACTAAATGACAGAATGCACGTATTTTTCAGAGCATTGAAGCTTAAAAACATATTTGTTGTCCAAAAAATTAGTTACAAAAGTTAAAAAAATATAAAATTAAATTTTTTGTTTTTATAATTTTCAATTTTTATTTTAGAAACTGAACAATAATGTTTTTAGCTAGTTTTATTGTGAAAATTAAAAATACGAGCAAAACAAGAATTTATTTTTAAAACATTTTTAAAGTTTGGTCGCTTTTTATACCCCATAATCGATGAGTTGAAGGGGTAATTGTTTGGTTTTCGTTATTTTTAATATTCTTAAACGTTAAACTCTTATTTGTGATCTCCGTTTACGAGTAATGGAATGGAATAGATAGCGATAGATTGAGCTCTTCCCCCTCTAATAAAGGGTACACTTGAAGCGAGCATTCAGCTTGGATCCGCTGGCACAGCTGAAGGCATTGGTGAACTGCTGGGAGTTGGACAAAGCCGCATTGATGCGCAGCTGTTCGGGCAGCTCCTCGTAGCGCTCCAGGGTCTCGGGATAGTCAGAGCAGTAGAGCTGCGCATAGGCCAGATAGAAGAGCTGCTGGTGCGAGTGATCCAGCAGTGGGAGACGCTCCCGCTGATAGATGGCCGCGGTTTCGGCCGAGTTCTTCAGCCACTTGTTGTACGCACGATAGGCAATGTCCAGGGCCCCGTTGTCGGCCACAATGCGGCGCAGAAGCTGCTTATCCTGCACCGGCCTCTCCCGATACTGCACAAAGATGGCGTACTGCTCCTGGAAGCATTGGGCACGTCGTGAATAGGATGTCTCGGAGGTGGCATCCCACCAATTGTTCTGATAGCCGTGACTGTCGTAGCGCCTGCCCACCGCATCGAAGCCGTGCAGCATTTGGCGAGCGAGGAGCACGCCCAGAGTGCCATATTTCAGGGCATTGGGATAGGCTGGGTCCCAGAAGAAGCGTGCCTGCAGGAACGTGATGGGCACCTGGATCTTGTTGCTCTTCAGCTCGTAGTGCGGCAGCTTGTGCGTTTGATGATCCTCCTGCACAGGCTCCTGAATGAGTTTGGCCAGCCTTCGCTGTGTCTCCCACTGCAGCACCGAGAGGAGATTCGGGTAAAAGTTCTTGGCATCCAGCTGGAGGCCATGCAGCTTGCGGATCAGCTGGAGATCGTCGTGCGAGCGAAACTGCAGCTGAAGCGACTCCAGCTTGGCAATGGCCTTCTGCCTGGTGTCCTGGCTGAGCCAGTGCAGCCGCTCGGATGCCTGCAGATCCTCGCGAAAGACGCGCTTGATGTCCGTCCATGTGGACTGCAGTTCGTTGATCATTTGCATGTTGTTGTAGTTCCTGTGGAACAGGCTCTCCAGCTGCTGCGGGAAGTGCCGCTGCGTGAGCTTGATGCACCAGATGTCGGGCTGCACAGTCGGAGGGATCCTTGCCGCATCCAGGGTGTCCAGGGTGCGCCAGATGGTGTAGTTGGCCAGAAGCAGCTTGGGCGTGCCGCGTATGACATCCACCAGATTGGACAGATAATCCTCGGGCGTCTCGTATATGTCCACGTACAAAGTGTCGCTGAAGATGAGCTGCAGGTAGCGGCTGATGTCCACATAGCTGCCATACGCAGCCTTCATATCGGCCGCCGTGCGCTGGCGTGTGGTCTGCTCCAGTGTGAGTGCCGCATTGTGGGGCAAGCCCTTGGCCAGCTGCTCCTCAATGCTGAGCACCTGCGAGGAGACCTCCTTCAGCCATTGCTTGGACTGTTCGGGGAAGTAGAACTGTAGTTTTTTCTGTATCGAACGCTTGTAGAGATCCCGCGTGCCCTGATGGTGCCCATCCAGGTAGACGCGACGCTTGCCCAGCGGCAGCTCTGGTGCTCCGATCTTGATGCGATGCATATGCTCCTCCTTGTAGTCGACAATCACATCCAGACCAATGAATATGTCCACGCCCAGCTGCCGCTTCAGCGTGGCCACCACCTTGAGCCAGTCGTACTCGTACTGGTACCACGAGGACACTCGAATCTCTGGCCAGCCGCCGCGAAAGTCCGTGGCCTGGAGCAGGGCAGCCGTCAAGGCGGACCTTGTGTCGTTCGCCTGCTGGCAGCACGAGTTGAAGAAGTTCTTGAGAATGCGATCCGCACTGCTGTCGGCACTGCGCGGGGAACTCTTCAACATTTCGGCGCTCTTGCGGATGTACAGCTCCTGCAGCTCCTCCAGGTAGTTGGTGCGCTTATTGTGGATCCTGGCCGGATGCAGACGCGGCCAATTGCCGCAGGCAAAGTTGTAAAAGTTATCGCAGGCCTCCGACTGATCCTCGCCCATGTAGGCCTTGATGTGGGCCGCCTTGGCCAGCCGCAGGATGTCATTGGTGTAGTTGGTGGCAAAAGGATGCGACACGGCAGCGCCAGCCACAGAGAAGGCTCCCAGGAGCAACAGCAGCAGCTTTACTCCACAGTTTTCCATTATATTTCTCCGTTTGTGTGTTTTCCGAATGATTGCCGAAACGAAACTGAGCTGAAATCGAGAGATGCGTCGATTTTTGACTGGATTCCGGGCCGGGGTCTTATCGTTGTGCCCCAACCCCCAGAGAGACCCAGAGACCGAACGCTTGATTAGTTAATTAGTTTCATTAACCGATGCAGTGTATATATTATTTGCTCACCATTCTCAATTACGCGACTCTGACCACATGTCTCGCTTCTCACTCTCTCTCTCTCTCTCTCTCTCTCGGTGTCTTGATCTTGTAATCGCTTTGCTCTATTCGCACTTGACCCACAAGGTAGCAGGCGTTCTACCCTTCCCTCCCACATCGCAGTTAATGAGTTTTCCGGGGGCCTCCTCCCAAGGTTGTCTCTAAATTAAAATTTGTTTATCCTCACTTAATCGTTCGTCGTTTCTTGTTAAACTAATGATTCCCTTTAATCATTCCACTCATTGCAGATATACAGCTAGATTTCTACAACATTTTTACAAACACATTACTTAAGGCACTTACCCGAAGAGTGTTTTTGTTTTAAGTACTGGAAAGTGTTGACTAGAAGTCGCAGCAGCAGCACCAGCAATCATCAACAGACAAAAGGAAACTTTACACACGGTAAGAGTTTACTCTCTTGTAATTTATTATTAAAACTCTGGGGCAGAGCCAAGACTGTGGTTCCATAGAATTATGAAAGATTTAAACTGTGAATACTAAGGTTATTTTTACCAAAAGTTGCCATTTTACGTTCGAGTGAGGCGCATCCAACTTCACTTTGTACAAAAACTAAGTGGCAACCTTACAATTATGAAACAGCTGTTTACACTTTAGTGAGAGGAGTTTACCGTTTTGTGGGCTTATCTTCTATTAATTTGTTAAATTCTGGGTAACGAAATCATAACATGTACATGCACAAATACTTGTACAAATATTCCTAATAATATTCACAATTCAACACGAAGGGTGCTCAAGATTTCATTGTATCAATTACGACATTCTTTGAACAGTTTATTTGTCAGCCAGGTGTTATGTGACAACTTGTTCTAGTTCCAGACTGTGTCTGTTGTGCAATTTATAATAAATAATTAGTTGTAATGCTAATACTTTTGAAGCCGACATCAACCGGCAGTTGTTTTGAGTGCTTTTGGACTTAGACGTGTGTCAGACTCCAGGTCCCCAATGCTGTAGTTGTGCTGGACATGGTAGCCTTTGTCGTCCACCACATAAGTGGCATCCGTCTTGTACACACAGCCATCCAAAGTCACGGAGGAAGTGTGGTGCCCTGTGATGATTACTTCGGGTTCCGCACGGGATTTACTTTTACTGGACGTTGATGAATCTTTGGACTCGCCATTTTCCTCACGATTGCCAGTGTTTTCCCGAATGCTAAGGCAGGCATCATTTGGGGGTTAGGTTATAATAAGTATAGCAAACCGAAAGACTCACTGAAATTCGTAGAAAACTGTGGCGCCATCATACCGTTCGATATAAAGACAGATGCAAAATATTAACAGGCACAGACACTGGAAAGATTATATATATTTTTTTGTCATTCCTTTCTAGACCTCAAAGACCTCCAATACTCACTGCAGTGGTTCGGATCATTCTAGTTTCCGTTGCTAAAATGCACTGAATGAATGAAATTACTGTATCGCATATGATACTTATTTATTTAGCGCTCGATCCATATAGCACTATGGAACAGGTTTAACCGGTGTCTATAGCATTGCATTTGAGGAGAGTTTTCCGCAACATTCACTCTTCGAATAGATTCTCTATTGATATCTGTAGAGCCGAGTGTAGTTGTTGTGACGCTTTACATCGGTATTGACTGGATTTAATAATTGCCTCGCACAACAATGTGACGATCATGATGCTGATTGACAGTAATTGCTGTTGATTGGAACTCTGAGAGGGAATGCATGGATGGGCGGAGTCTGTATGCTGTGTCATCAATGCTGCTTGCTCGGTGTGGGAAAATATCTGGGAATTCTATACATTTTGGGGATATTACGTTGGAAAATCAATTTAGTTTTATTTTAAATCGAATTTACATTTCGTTTTCTTAGCCCAATCTTGTGAGTATTTTTAAAAGCTGAGCACTCAAACGAGTTCCAATACTGTATGGCTGTGGCTCACACTCGATCGAATGATTACGCACAACATCTGGGATGTCCTTGTCCTTCTCTGGAACTGCAAAATGAGTGGGATTCTCTAGCGCGACTTCTGTTAACTTTGGCTTTGGATTGTCTCCATTGGGAGTCTTCATTTGCTCAGTATTTACCATGGAGGAGGGCATTATTATAAGCTCAGGATTTGCACAAAGAGTGGGCAAAGGTACAGACTTCTCTACTGTAGGAATGGTTGTACTTTGTGGTTCCATTCGGAAGAGTTGGATATCTTCCTGTGCGGATTTATGTTCCAGAACTGCATCCTCTGTAGAGACTTCTGGTACCCTTTTCTCCTTATTAGAAGTTGTAACAGTTGGTGAGCGCGTTGGTAGAGGCACAATCCTTTCAGGTACAATATCCACTGTGGGAATGGTTGTACTTTGTGTTGTGGAAGATACTGCATTCAATTGGGATTTGTGTTCCAATATTCCAGCATTAACAGCAGCGACTTCTGGTACTTTTTTCTGGCCTTCGTTTCCATTGAAAGTCTTTGTTTGCTCAGGATTTGGAATGCCACAGGAACTGGTGATGGAGATGCCAACAAGCAGCATAAATAAAATCTAAATGTACGAGAAATATTGATATTCTCATGGAAATCTAGCGGAATGCCACTTGATACTTACATACGGCTGCATTTTTATTCGATTACTGAGACTTGAACTCAGTTGCAGCTGCGCTTTATACGAGTATCTATATGGATGCTAGGGGGCAGCTACGGAGTCGTTTCTCCAAGTTAGATATCGTGAGTTTCATATTATTGAGAGTGTAATTAAAAGAGAGCATTCAACACTCGCAATTATTTTGTAATAGTTTTTAATTATGGTTATGGCTTTTAGAGAGAGAGTTTCTTGGAGAGTTTATTCTAAGATTGCAGAGTTCTATTTTGTGAGAATTTTTAATAAAGTTGCGCTTAGCCTAGGCCCAATGGCATCTGGATTTTTTTGAGAGTTACCAGCACCTTCAGTGGTGGATTCTGTGGCAAATGGTGTTGATTCTTTTGTGATAGCAAGTTCTATGCTATACTGCTGGGTGGTTCCTTTAAGAAGAGGGTTTTCAGTTGTTTTGACTCTTTCACTGTCCGAAAGTTTCTTAATTTTACTATACTTGAATACATTTTTATTTAAATCTTTTGGCACTGGTGACTCAGTTGTCTTTTGCTCCTGAAGTGATGTTATTTGGGGTGTTGCCTTCAGCACAGGCTGCGCATAGATGCCCAAGCAAACAAAGAGGCTGAGTAAGAGTAAGTGTGTGTAGATCTGCACTTACATTCGACTGCATTTTCTGTTGAGTTCTGTTTAGATTTCCCGCTTGGCAGAGAGTTTTATATTGGTGCTTTGAGTGATCGTTAAAGATTCATGAAATTCCCAGTCAAACAGAGAGCACTTTTGCATGGGCGTTAGGTGACAGCCAATCAAGCGAGTCTTAACGATCATTAAATAATTACCAATGATGTTTGTTGATTAATTTTGTGTTTATTTTGGTAAATAACATTTAAGTTATTGCATTTAACTAGGTCTAGGACTAGGTCTTCGCTAGAATTTTCAACAGCTTGGCACTGAGTCTGGGTCCAATAGAATCTGGTAAAAGGAAACAGTCATCGCCGTAAAGCGAATAACAATCGAAGGTTGCTTGCTCGACGTTAGTTGCGGGAGTAGGAGAATCCGCAATGAGATTATCCCTGGCTGGTGATCCTTTTAGAACAGTCAATAGCTTGGAGTCTTTTGTGGGTGATTTGGGGAGGATCTCGATTATCTCCTTTGGGGAATCCTGTGGTATCCTAGGAACTGCAGTTCCGGCTGTAGGTGTAGTCGTGCCCAGGGCACTGGAACTGTCAGGACTTCCAGGACTTAGCTTCAACCAAAGTAAGATGCTTATCAAAATCAGATAAACTATAACCTGTTAGGGAGAAAAATAATGCTAACTATCCTCTAGGACAAACTGTCATGATCTCTACTTACAATCGATTGCATTTTCAGTTGGGTTCTGTTCAGGTTTCCCAAATGCGAGTGAGCTTTATATCGCTGCTCTGGGCTCGTGGGAAATGCATAAAATTACCCAGAGAGACAGATAGCTATCGAGGCATTTGCTGCCCGCCTAGGTGATGAAGCGGCAGCTACTTGGTCTATAATTTCGCATTGGGCGTCGCTTTAAGATTGGGAAAATCTATTTTCAACTGTTACTAAGGTCTTTCGTAGGTTCCCTGATCTAGATATTGTATTTATATTTTTAGAAGATGACTATGATCGACATTTCCTCAGGGAATTATGATATTTAATGCATTTCTGCTTAGTCTGTCATTACCAATTGGTGATTCATTTGGAAGCCAAGTACATATTTGCATGGCTGAATATTTGATTTAATGTAAAATGAATCCAAAACTTCGCACGCGACCATGATTCATGGGCTGACAATGCATTAAATATGACAATATCAGTTAGAAGTTGAATATGCTTGCTGCCAAGCAAAGAAACATTATTTTCAGTCCTAGCAATTTTCCGTTCAACTATTGCTGCAGAAGTAGAGAACTCGCATCTTCTTCAGAGTTCTTAATTGAATTTAATCAAAATGTGCATAAATCCGAGCGAATTTGAGCGAATAACTGCAAAGCTGAAGTACAAGCGAAAAGTGCAAAAGGGAATCCCAAGAACATTGCTGTTGATCCCAACAGTTGTTGCGTTGCCCACCCTTCTCTCTCTCTCTCTCTCTCTCTCTCTTAAGCCCACTTTCACTCTGTCTCTGCCTCTCTTTCTTTCGCTCTCTTACTGTTTTTACTGTCACTGTAACTATGTGTTTCTCTTTTTCTCTCTTTGTGGGAGAAGGATGTGTCAATCGTCTAAGCGAAATTAAAACAATTTATATTGATTTTAGCTTAAAATGTTTATTACAAAAAACTTATAAATGTTCATATTCATAACAATAACAATTAATTGTCTCAGAGCTTAGATTTCATTCTTATAAATATAAAGGTTGAATAAAAGCTTTAAATATTAAAGCGTTTTACCCACAACTACTCCGTTGAACATGATTTGAAGCACAATTACTTGGAGTTACTTAGGATTAGACAATGGTTTAGCTAAATATATACATAAACTATCTTTAAGCTAGAATCTTCAGCAACTTGGCTGACAGATTATTCACTGGCTCCGACAAAGGACCTTGGCCTGCATTTGTTTTGTTTGATGCAACGATGAGAGGATAATCCAACGCGCCTTAACCCAAATACGTTCCCAAAAAGTGTTTGGAAATCCTGTCGATTCCTTAGTTTTGGTTTAGATGTGGCTTTGGGCGCTGCTACTGCTGATTGGAGGTTTCTCTGATGGTGTGGCTTCTCTTGGCTGTATTCGCTAACTGTTGATTGACTGTGCCTAACGCTATGGTTTTATAGTACTGTCTGACGTGAGTTCGATCTGGTCAACGTAGAGTGCATTGCCCATGGCACACACACGCCAAGCGGCGGCACTCGACACCGGAATTTTCCCAGACAGCGATTGTGAGAAAAATCACTAAACGATCCATAAAATTAAGGTCTATAAAATGGGAGCTATTTTTAGCTGTGACACTTCATCTTAAGCTCATTTGAACTGTTAACTTTAAGGGGTATCACGAAATCAAAGACAGGTATTCCATGTTCGTCTTTTTGGCGTCTGTTTTGCGCCAGAAATGCTCGGATTACATGTGAATTTGAATATGTGCTGAATCACAGCTGGACTTTGAGACTTTGATAACCATAAAAAAAGTGCAAATTAAAGACAATTTCGTGTGTTTATTTTGCAATTAAATAAAATTCCTCAGTGTAGGGCTAGAAAAGGCTTGGGACTAATAGTTGTCTAGTTGTCTCGATTGACTAATTGGAAGGCCAGACGGCCGAATGCCATCTGCAAAGTGAGAGCGAGAGAGGTACATAGATCGAGAGAGCTTAAGCGGCAGAGCTTTATGGATGCCGCTGCCAGCCGAAAGCAAACGAAACTGAGAGAGCAAGCGCGGGGGAGGGAGCTTAGATTTAAGTGAATGAAAGAAAGACGTAACAAAAAGAACCGAAAAGAAATGGTAAAGCTGAACCCGACTGCCGTGTGTGTGTAAGCATATGAAACAGTTACGGGTACAGTGGGCTGAACAGATTTAATTACGGCTGCGATACAAGCAAATAAACTGGGCGCCTTCATCAATATCTTATGTTTATTTCTGTGACAAAAACTCACTTTATTAACTAAAAATTAAAATTTTTAAAATTTAAACATTCTTCGTACATTCTGGTCTAAACAAAATTGATTCTATGTATAAAACTTAATGCAAAAACACTTTGTTTCAATAAATAATTTTCAAAGAGGGGATGCTAAAAAAAAAAAGAGTTAAAATTTTGAAGAAATGAATTCTTCATTTGCTTTTCCTTTGCGCATTTTAGTTGTAAAATACTTTGCTTTGTTTTTACTGTCTTTTTTTAAATGTAAATAAAAAAAAATGCAAGTTAAAAATAAAGCATTGTACGAATTAGAGTATTTTTTAATTTCTGTTGTTTGTGTTATGCGAAGCAAACTCACGTGTATCCCCTCTTCAAAATTATTTATTTTCAGACAGTATAAAAGTGTTTTGCGCCTCTGCCCTCTGCCCCCTCAAAACAAATATATAACGAAAGATACATATATATCGACATATAGGGAGGGGATACCGTAAATGATCCAATAACCAATAGACGATAGAACGATCCAAGAGCAGACGACTGCAAAAGCCTGCCACGGTGTGGGGTTTTCTGTACCGGTGTGCCACTGCAGCCCCTGGCGCTGGCATGGGCGCCAACGTCTCGCAGCTGGAGCGGGAGATCGGCTCGGATCTGTTTCCGGCCAATGAGCACTACTTCGGGCTGGTGAACTTTGGGAACACCTGCTACAGCAATTCGGTGCTGCAGGCCCTCTACTTCTGCAAGCCCTTCCGCGAGAAGGTGCTCGAGTACAAGGCGAAGAACAAGCGGCCCAAGGAGACGCTGCTCTCCTGCCTCGCGGATCTCTTCTACAGCATTGCCACGCAGAAGAAGAAGGTCGGCTCCATAGCGCCCAAGAAGTTCATCACGCGGCTGCGCAAGGAGAAGGAGGAGTTCGACAACTATATGCAGCAGGATGCCCATGAATTTCTCAACTTTCTGATCAATCACATCAACGAGATCATCCTGGCCGAACGGAATGCGGGCCCCACGCATGGCAACGGGAATGGCAATGGAAAGTCGAGCGGAGCGGGTGCCAGCACCTCCCAAATGGCCACCAGCACAGCCAGCAAATCGAGCTCCACTTCAAACTCCAATTCCAACTCGAACTCGACCTCCAACTCGACGACGACCAATGGGAACAGCAGCAACTCCACGGGCTCCCTGAATGCTGCGGCCACCACGAGTGTGCTGGATGCCAGCGGTGGTCTGACGGCCACCACCACGCCTCTGGTGCAGACCAACGGTGCCAATTCGGAGCCCACCTGGGTGCACGAGATCTTTCAGGGCATACTCACGTCGGAGACGCGTTGCCTCAACTGCGAGACGGTGAGCAGCAAGGATGAGAACTTCTTCGATCTGCAGGTGGATGTCGACCAGAACACCTCGATCACCCACTGTCTGCGGTGTTTCAGCAACACGGAGACCCTCTGCTCGGACAACAAGTTCAAGTGCGACAACTGCTGCAGCTACCAGGAGGCCCAGAAGCGGATGCGAGTGAAGAAGCTGCCCATGATACTGGCCCTGCACCTGAAGCGATTCAAGTACATGGAGCAATTCAATCGCCACATCAAGGTCTCGCATCGCGTTGTCTTTCCGCTCGAGCTGCGACTGTTCAACACCTCCGACGATGCCGTCAATCCGGATCGGCTGTACGATCTGACGGCCGTGGTCATACACTGCGGCTCGGGCCCAAATCGCGGACACTACATCAGCATTGTGAAGAGTCACGGCCTGTGGTTGCTCTTCGATGATGACATGGTCGATAAGATTGAGGCCTCCACCATCGAGGACTTTTATGGCCTCACCTCGGACATACACAAATCCTCGGAGACGGGCTATATACTATTCTATCAGTCAAGGGATTGTGCCTAGAGATCATCCTAAATCAAGTTTATGTTTGTTTCTTTTAAGACCAAAATTTTTAAAGACTATTACGCGTATATTCTGTATCTTGTCTATCCATAAAACTATTATCCTTTAACTTTGCTAATCAATAAAAGAAATGCATGCACGACAAGTGAAAGATGTTTTTCACCTGCAATTGTCTAGGTCTTGGTCTAGGTCAGGTCAGGGGTAGCCGCCCACTTCGGTTCAGTCAACTCAATTCAACTCTGGCTGGGGGCTTGCCGTTCTCGGTGGTCGGACGTCTACGAATATGAGAGATTTCCCAGTGCGACGGAAGCCTATAATTTTCTGTCGCACTTACAATTATTCTTGGGTAATATTAATTCCATTGAATTCCCCCCATTGATCACCGCACACAGGTGTTGTAAGAAGTTAATTACGATATTCCGATGCTCGGCGATACCTTGGATCTGTTACATCGTAGATTGTCGACTGCTTAGTCACGTAGTAGAGTGTGGCACGTGATGCACATGCATTTGCTCCATGCAAATGTTTGTCACATAAATCAAAGCTCTAACCATTTCTAGAGTTGCGAAATTCTCATGTCAAGTAAGCTGTGACTTAAGCGGTGGTGAGGTTGTTCCGATATTCTATATCTGTCTGGAATTGCGGCGTTTCTAAGTAACCATTTGAGGAGTTAGTCCGAAGCCATTAAGCGAGTTGCATGCAACATCTATGCATAGCTAATGGGTTAGCGGATGATCCAACCGTAGTTTCCCTTTTTTTTATTGAGCACGATTATGCAAGAGACAGTCCCCGGCGAATGCAACTGCAAGCTGAATTTGTGTATACGAGTATCTGTATCTTTTGTTGTACACATTTCAAGGCTCTTCAGTTACCGCGGTGCCTCTTGTCCAGTTATCTCCGTCCAGTCGTTAGGCAATGCCATAAAAATGCCAGGCATACAACAGGTTCAATGGAACCGAAGAAAGCCTGAAGGCATATTTATGTATGGGTTTTGCTAATGAAATCTACCATGAGGCCGGCAGTCAGGGTATTTATGGATGTATATGGCGGGTATAAAGTGGAAGAGTATATTAAATACGCATTTAACTTGCAGTAGTATAAAAAAAGACTTCAAAAATTAATCACATCTCTGCCTCTTTACCAGCACTCCAGCTGCTTGGTTGCTTATCCAAAAATCCACCAAAGAGTTGTTCCCTTAATGCTCTAAAGAATTACATTTTAACCCAAATGAATAACAACTTTGTAGAGCATTCAAAATTCGCTTCTTTTCAAGCTAATTTTTTGATCAATTTCATTACATTTCCCTGTGGCATGTCATTGAAAAGATTTACCAATTTGTACGATGGAGACAAGCGTTAAACGCCATTGACAACCGCCAGATGATGCCACAGCTAGACAGCGGCGGGGCAGAGCGGAACGAAGCGAACTGGAAGCTGCCACAGTTGCAAGCATTTCGCGGCTGCGTAGGCATCGGGTTTTTCTCTCATGTTTTTTTTTGTCGCCCATCATGTTTGTCGTTGGTGCTTGTGGCGCACTTGATCGATTGGCTTTATCTTATGGTCCGGCTAGACTATTCCGCATTTTATGGCGAGCGATAATTTCGCATGATTTCTACTTTCACTTTGTGGCAAAAGGAAAAACTCCACGCCACGCCACGACACTCCACTTCACGCTTTACGCAACTTTATCTTTCCGCCATGACTTCCAAAGAAAAATGCTTGGCATTTTCGATTTCGTCTCCCGTCTGGGAGATCTGAGACCAAATGCCAGTTGACATTTGACATATTGTCGCACGTCAAGGTCTGCTCTGGCAGCAGGAACATGTCGTTGTGCGGTTGTCAGGCCATGTTGCAACATTTCCTATGCCTCGTGCCATATGTTCTCCGTTTTTCTGGGGCACTGATTGTGAAATTGTCAATATGTTTTCGAATGTATTTATGTGCATGCGCCGGGAATAGGCAATTGTGATTTTGACAAGCTTCTGGAAAGTGTCTTTGTGTATCTCTTTTCTGGATATTACATTGATCAATATTTATGAAGGATATATTATTCAGATACATAGATTCACTACCCAAAGTTGTGTGCAAAAACTAGGCAGTATCTTTATCGCTCTGGCCGCGGACATAAATAAATGACATTTTTCTCGGTTTCCCCTGCCCCTCTCGAACTCCTCTGACTGTGAAAAATGAAGCCGCTCCCGCGTCTGAGTAAACACAGCGACAGTCCTCCATTTCAACGAGATGTCTTTAATTAGCTCGTTTGCCACATGTGACGCCCCTCTGTGGCACCCTTTCCCTCTGTTGTTTCTCCCTTGTGGGATCGTTGGAGATTTGTCATGAGGGCCCCTGACATAATTACGGCCTGTTTGGAAATTAAATATGTCATTAAATGCTCTTCAATAATATTCTGCTGTCGTTGCATGTGGAAAATGATAAATGACCAGAGAGACAGAGTAACCTGAAACCTCTTTGGATATGTCTACGGTGTTCACAATGTTATTCAAATTTTATGGCCAACCAAAATAGGAGCCTCCCTGCCTCCGACTTGGCGTCATCTCTTTATTGCGTCTTTGGTTATGCGCAGAAATATTCGCGCAGCATGGGATGGGCACTGGATGCCTCTTAGCCCAGGAGGCAACAAAGTGCAACCTCTCGTTGTGGAGCTGCTGCTAGAGATGGACCCACCGCAAAGGCAAAAAAAACGACGCAGCTCTGTGCATTTTTTGTTTGTTTTTTGTTTACTTTGGCAATTTTATTTGTGTGTGGTGCATGACTATTAAGATGTGGGAGGTCAGCAGAATGCTCGTACTAATATCCCAGGGTGGATTTCATGCTAATTCGAGTCCGACTGTGGGGGGCGGCTCAAGCACTGTCAACCAAAGATGAGTCATTCCTGTGACTGCATTTGCGGACACAAAAATAAATTCAATTAAAACTCGGAAAAACAAAGCGGGAAACGAATCAATAACCGTAGAATTTGTGGCGCCACCTAAAAGTATGCCCCTAGTTCTGGCCTGCATCTCGTTCTCTTCTCTCTCTGAGGCGTTCCCTGTTGAATTTAGAGTTCCTCTCTCTCTCTCTCTCTGTGATCGTTTCTGCTCTGTTTGGTATTTAAATGTGTGGATTATGAGCATGACCTGTTCCCCAGATACTCGTAGATCCAACGCCTACACTTGGTCGCCTCTCTGCTCTGTCTCTGAAGCTGACAATAATTAATTGAAAAATAAAAAGCTGGGGTTTGCAAAAATGTGATACGAGTAGATACGAATCCGCATTATATTCCGCTTCTGTGTGGGTGATACTTTTCGTATCTACGTGTAAACAAGCCAATTGTTGTTCATTGAAATCCACATTTGTGTTGTGTTTTCTCTACCTCTGGCTCTGGTTTTGTTTGTTGTTTATTCAGTTAAGCGCACTTGGATAAACAGCTGACATATGAATGAGCATTTCTGCCCGAAAGAGTGGGAATCTAGAAGGTAGGGGAAACTCTGGTGTCTCATTTACAGGGTGCCTAGTGCTCTGGGCATCTGTATGCATCTGATGCATACTTAATGCAAGTTCATGCCGTTCCATTGTATTCGAAGCGATTTCCCAAAAAGGGAAAAGGGAAGTACAATTTATGTGCATTTTGAATAGTTTTATTGGAAAAATGTAGTACGCTCCACCGACTGCTGCCTGATTGTGTCTGATCGTCTGCTTGTAATTGTTAATGAGGCACTTGTGCCTCCCCCCTCGCATATCGGTATCTGTGATATCATTTTATGTTTTGGTGTTTGGTTTCAAGTGGCAGTCAGTCCGTGCCAAGAGGTCGGGGCAGATGTTTGCTTTAGTTGCAGCACGTGCAAACACATGCACCCTCCCTCGAATATGGGAACTCGATCCTCATCCTGCCGGAAGCCCCGAAGATCTTTCCCTTTGCCACCCTCAAAGAATGATTGGAATGGTTTGTTTGAGCCTGTACAAAGTACTCACTTGTTTTTCCACTTGAGTTGCTTCATTAGTCTTGGGGAATAAATCAAAATCCGCAGTTGATTACATTTCCAGATGGTCTGTGGCCTATGCATACAATTTATGATCGTATCTAGATGGCTGCTAAGCTCTTTGATGCCATTTGAATGATGAGATCTTTGCAGCACTTTGAAAATAGTAGTTATGGATAGAAATTACTATGTACATTAAAGTATATTCCATTCCAAGCATATTTTATGAGAGGATCTTCCATTAAGTCTCTCAAAAATATCTTTTATCAGAAGTATTTTTCAACAGAATTATTTTAAACTTCTATGAAAAGAATCTTTTATCAGAAATATATCTTCTGCTAGAGGTATATCTTATCTATCTACTCTTTGTCTATCTACGAATGTTATCTTCTATTCACTCTCAAAATAATATCATATACATGAAGACCTCTACTACTCTCAGCATCCACACCAGGCACACCCACACCCACACCCGCACTGCACTTGCTGCTCCACAAAAGCATCCATGAAGCTTTGCCGCTGGTGTTCGCTCTCGTTTTCACTTTTCGCTCGAGCATTTCTTTTTGGGGTTAATTCCCCCCGCTGCACATTGTATAATGTATTCCGATGCGCGGCTACAGTTACGACTACGGCGTACCCGTGCCCGTACTTCGTGCGTTTTCGGTTCGCTTTACAGTCCGCTCACACAAACACCCATGCAGTGCCAGTGCTCCGCACATATACACCCCATAGATAATGGGGAGGCGCCGCCCTATCCCCCACACACATAGCTAGACCCGGAGAGTCTCGTCGTTTCGTAGTCGGCTGCCTCGCCGCTTTGTTGCTGTTGTTGCCTGCTGCTGTCGCTGTCGTGGATGTCGTCGTGGTCGTCTGGTCGTCGCTTGCGCTCGCTCGCGTTTTTTTCCCGTCAGTCAGTCTCCTTGGGCTTGTGCAACTGTGAAAATGTGCGGAGCATCGTCGTCGTAGTCTTCGTGAAAAAGAGACCTTTTAGTTTCCATATACATCTACATATATGTGTATATTATTTTCATTTCGTTTAATTTGTTTACGCGCTCGTTTGTCTATTGTGCAGTGAAGAAAGATACTTTAGCCCAATCAAAGCTAAACAGAAAACAAAAACCAACAACAACTTAAACAGCTACTAACATTAATTGTGCGTGGGCCATGCCTGAGTGAATTATCTGCCAGAAACGCCACAGATTGGCCACAATCTCAAGTGCATCCGTATATGTATCTCACATCTCACTCCCTGTGTCTGTGTCTATAGCTCTGTGTGCCTGTGTGTGTCTCAGTGTGTGTTTAAACGAACAAAGCGAAGCGAATTCATCGACAAAGGGAATGCTCTTTGAACACCACAAACATTTGGATTATCTAATACCATACATTGGATGGGTAAATTAAACTAAAGCAAGAGTTTCCCCAGTGTATATATTTACGAGTTTTCTGCACCACGAAATGAGATCATCTGTTGTTTGGGTGCAACGGTTCTGGCATAGGCAGGGGGTTGCTTGCACAGAGTTTTTCTTATCTTATCGCTACACTCAGGTGGCAATACGAAACGGGCATGCCGAACGGGTTTATTCACGCCAAATCAGAGCACTTTGACATGCTGATAAGATGCCTTCAAAATAGTAGAAAGTAGTTTTGATGAATCGATTTTGGATTAGCTACAAAAAAGATGCATCTCCACTTGGTAGCTAATCTATACATATATTTGAACGTAGATGTGGCTGCCTAACAATAGTGTTTGTATCTTCAAGAACTTTCTCGGAATGTGCCTCTCCCAGTCGCATCTCAGCCTATTCCTGCATACACCTTTCCGACGTACCTGCCCCGCCATGGCCATTGTAGCTCGGCATACCAAAAGCTACTGTATCTCCGCAGCTACTGTATCCGTGCGTCTGTTTTTAGTTAGCTTTTGCAAATAGCTTTGACCTTTTCTTCTTCGACTTCCGCGTCGATATGCACACATGCGTTTGATGATTTCGTAATTGCAACAACAAAATAGAAACAACGTCGAGAAACTGCAATTGCGAATGCCGCTCTACAGATGCATTTTCCTTTCGCTGCCTCATTTAATTGTGGGCTCCGTCGTGCGCCTAGAGGGCCAAAGAGTTTTCTAGGCATTTTCCATTACCAATGTAGGCCAACAAGTGCGTTGAACTAAAAGCCAGAACAGAGCGGAGCGGAGCCGAAGGCAGGGGCAGAATCAGCGCCAGAAGCTGACGTCAGATTGCACTTGGAAAATGGGAAAATTATGCGTCCTGCCTTTGAAAATGAAAGAAGATGAGCACCGCTAGACACACAGCTTCCCTGGAAATAAGTTCAAAATGTGATTGAACGAACCTGCCCCCCCCCCCCCCCCCAGCAGGAGTACTGAGTGGGGAGACTGTACTTGCCGCTTGTACACGCGGCACGCACTGTTTATTTCTGTTTTTGTTGTTGCAAGGTGCAAAGAGAAATCCAAATGAGTTGCGTGCAAAATCGAAATGCGAAATGCATGTGCCACGTGCACTGTGGCAGTGCCTCGGGGTCTGTTTATGGTTTCCAGAACTTCTGGCAGCGGGAGCTGGAGCGTGCAACGCGCTTATCGGGGGGATGCTTAAATGGCACGTGAATGTTTTTCCTTCTGCCATTTGCTTCTCCTTTTCTTTTCGTTTCTTTGAGTGTTTTTCTTGAGTGTTGGTGTGGGAGGGGGGGGGGGGGGGGCGCTGAGAGGTTTCGTGTTCCTTGGCTGACTGCCAGCTGCCAGTGGCAGCAGGTCCTTGCTGCGCCTGAGCACTCCTCGAATTGCTGGGGTTCGTTCCTTCGTTCTTCCTGCTGCTCACGTTCTGTGGCTGTGTGTGCCATGGACTTTCTCTTTCCGATATTAGGGTATTTTTCCACTATTGCGCATTTATCCTGTTGCCCCCCCACAGGACTCTGACTCTTGCCCCAAGCATTGGGTGGCCCTTTGTCTGAAAGTTGTAACACGAAGCCATCACATTTTGGGCGTGTCCCAAAAGGAACTCCTATTATGTTCATGCAGTTTTCTGTTCGGATCTCAGAGATCTACTCATAGATGCTGCCAGAATCTCTTTGGGGTGATGTCAATCATCAAGTATGCCAGATATTTTTTATTTTGTGGCTCTAACGAACACCTGGCTCTTCTTGATATTTTCTTGTTCTTTTTCTTGGCAGCAAGACCCCTCATGTGCGCTGTAGATAGATTTCAATAGCAAACATTATGACACATTCACACAGTTTGGCTCTTTGTCTGCCAAGTTAATAATGAACTTGGCTAAGATTTTTGCAGCCAAAAAAATTATATTAAATTTAGACACCATTTAACGCTAGGGCCCAAGGCGAAAAATCGCAGCCCTGTAGAGCAGGAAAACCATTTCCTTTGGCCGGAAATTTATGCGCATAAATTAGGAGCCTTGACTGGAGGGCCTAACGAGCATTTAAACGAGGCCTGAATGCAGTTAATTTGGCTGCTAACATGCCGAAATGCCAGGCCTCGTTTTGAGGTTGGCCAAAAACTGCAGCGGCCGTAAATCGTATCCTCGGAGACGTTCCACATTTTGTGGCAAAGGGAGCTTTGTTTATTACAAATGCTGTTGTTTGGACAAGATAATTTTAGACAATTTTTGTGCGCTAGAAACTCCGCGCGTAAAGTTTACCAACGAAAAACCCATATAAAAATCTCGACTGCAGAAAACTCGTAAATTATTTTTATACACACCCAAACAGAAATTGGGAGAAACTTTTTCAAATGTACAGAACACCACAACCATTTGGTAAATCTATATATAATTTATATACATATGTGTCGTATAGAGAGAGAGGAAAACTTGAGGCAAAACAACATTTATAAATAGCGGGGAAAAGGAAAGAAAAACTACAAAGAAATCAAAATGAAAAGTGCAGCAAGCAAACAACAAAATGTGTAACCAATCAATGGAGTTTGAACCCTTAAAAAATATCCAAGCCAACAACTAAAAATAATCAACAAAACCAAAACCAAAACCAAAACCAAAGAGAAAAGAATCAACAGCAGAACTTGGCAACAGCAGAGGCTGGCAGCAGCGTCACTGCGTTGGTCCAGGCCAGAAATAAATCCACCGGCAACATTCGGGCGGGCATTGCAACTAAATGTTGTTGCTCCTGCTGGCATTCATCATGCGATTCGTAGACATTTCCAAAAGATGTGCGGCCTGCTCCAGGGCCGGCATTGATTGCCCCCACAATGGCAACAACAACAACAACAACAGCAGCAACAACACACGCAGCGATGCCAATGGCAATACGGCCATGGCCCCAGCGACATGTTGGCAACATGTTGCCACGGCTTCAGCCAGCAACAGCAACAGCAGCAGCACCAGCAGCGGCTGTGACAGCAACAGCTCCTCCAAGGAGAACTACTATGCCCCGCAGCAGCGACATCAGCAACATTTGGGTGTGACACCGCAACAACTGGAGCAAATACGCTTCTACCAGCGCATGCAGCAGCAGCAGTTGCAACTGTTGCAGCAGCAATTGTTGCAGCGGCGTCGCATGCAGCAGCAACTAAGGGATCAGGGTGTTACAGCTAAAGCCACAACCACAGCGGGCTTGACCTGCAATCAACAGTATCTGCGGCAACAAAGATTGCAACAGCAGCAGCAGCAACATCAACAGCAAAGATATAGCGCCAATGATAATGACTATCTGAACAACAATATTAACAATCAGAATAATAATCTGATTGTGGGTCAAGGTGCGACAGTAATTTAAGACTTTTATTTAATTTTATATTTAAAATAGTTCCCTGAGGAAGGGAGGTACTCTCTTGGGTTCCATTTAAATGGAAATATGTTGCAGATTATCCACGAAATTGATTGATTAAATATTTGACAGGCCAAAGAGCTTAGTCAACATTTGTCCAGTACTCGAGACGGGACTTTTGTACTTTCAATTAAGTTCAATTGAGCGGCAGCTGGCTCAAGGCATGGCCATTGCCCCTCTCAGCATACATCGTATGACTGACTGCATGTACAATACATACATATTAATGTACATATAAATATGTATATCTATGTATACATATACCCATATCTACACACAAAATGCATTAAAAGTTCTTTTTTTAATATGTCTGTAATCTTGCGCATGGCCCAAATATGAAATGGAAAGAAAGACATTTCATATTTTTTGAGGAAGGGAAAGATGCGGCATAACACTGAAGGCAGAGACGTACCAGAGGGAGTGTAGGAGAGGCATGTGCAACGGCAGCTTTGCCACTTGTCTGTAAAGTTTCCCCCGATGTCGGACGGGAAGATCTTTTCGAATAATCTTTCATGTCTGCACTTGCTGGCAGGTTTCCCCTTCTGCTTTTCTGGTGATCCGTTTTTGTTTATTGGATCATTTTTCGAGTTAATTTTAAATGTAAATTCTGTTGTGGATGGATGGGAATTACATAAAATGGCCGACAATCGATTGAAATGCGGCAAATGAGGACAGGGCAGGGCAGTGCAGTGCAGGCTTTAATTCTCCTTTTTCTTGGCGGTAAAGTTACCGTCTTTGGACATGCAACACTCTTTGGAGCCTTCAAAGTTTAACCTTTAATTGCCTTTGGGGCACAGACAAGTTGCAGTTGCATGTGGCATGTGTCAGAGCAGCAAGAGCAAAGAGAGAGAGCGGAAAAACTGTGACATTTTTGTATTGAACTTTTTGTGTGTGTGACACCGACAGCGTGCCTGGCACCCCGTGGCCCACCCTCTCTCAGACATATAAAAATAATTTTTACAACTTTTTCATCTCCATCTCCATGTGTCGCCCGTGCCCCGAACGAAACTTATTTGCTAGACTAGTCCTGGGATCGTAAAAACTAATTGAAACATGCCACGGTCGATGCTGCCCCTGGCAGGTTTTATAGCCCAGAAATGTGTGTGTGTGTGGCACACACTAATGTCCATTTGATGCGAGGAAGGTGCAAATGAAAATGGGAATAGATCATTAGCTGGAGTGTGGAGACTGCCGCACGCGGAGCCAAGTTCAGTGTCAGGGCTAATGGATAGTGGGTCTCCTTTTAGGGGATTATCTGGATGTGTCTGCGGTACTAATGCTTGGAATTATCTCTCTCTCTTTATTGCAGGAACCTTGAAACTTCGACGTGGCATGACCGAATTCTCAACAAACAACGATCACAGGCAACCGCATTTCATCTCCGCATCTCAGCAAAAACCGCTCCAGAACTCACCCATACACCAGACTAATCCCCATCAGCAAACGCAAACGCAAACGCAACCGCCCCATCATCCTCATTTGCTTCAACGCTTAGCCCAACAGCAGCAGCAGCAACATCGTCAGCAGACCCTGCCCCACAGCAAGCAACAGAACGGCAACACGGCTGCCCACATTGGCCTAGGATCGTCTCCACATTCCCCCACGCTCGGCTACAGGAATCCCCTGAACAGTCCCACAATCACCAGCAACAATTGCTGCTCCCCCTTTGGCAACACGGCGGCTCAGACGACAGCGGGCAAACGCTACCAGCAGCAGCTGACCGATCGCCTGCTGCAGCAGCAACATCTGCAACACTGCCAGCAGCAGCAGTTGCAGTCGCTGGGAGTAGTCGCCGCTGGTGGTGGTGGTGCAGGCAGCGATGAGGAGGACTCCGTCAACGAGGAACTGAGCGAGGAGAGCCTCAAGCAGAATGTGGCCATTGTCCTGAGCAATCTGGACAGGTACAACAACGCCCTACGCAGCATCATACTGAATGAGCAGCTGAGCGGCATCAGTGGCAGTGGCAGCAGTAGCCTCCTTCTCGACAGCAGCAGCAGTCTGCTGTGCTGCGACAACGACAAGAATTTTGCAGGCAATCAACGTTGCAACAACAGCAACAACAACAACAACAACGTGTGGGGCAAGATGGCAGCCACACCGGAATCGGACTACAACAGCAATGCCACAACGCCGGGCGGCAGAAGTGGCAGCGAGCAGCAGCAGCAACAAATTGGGGTAGGTGGAATGCTTTGTGGTAATGGTGGTGGTGGCGTTACTGGTGGTGTTGGTGGTGGTGGTGGTGGCAACAATCTCAACTGCTCGCTGGCCTCGTCGCACGACTTTACTCACGACAATTCCGATTATCAGTGGTTCCTGGACTACGGCTATCGGGATGGCTGCAGCGGCATGCAGCGCAGTGTCCTCAGCTCCCTCTCGGCCTCCTACAATGCCATGGGGGATCTCATCTACTACGAGGATCTGGCCAAGAATCTGGACGCCAATCTGGCCGAGGTGGATATGGAGAGTTTTCGTGCCGAGGATATCCACTCGCTGCTCTCGCAGCTGCCGGCCTACTGCAAGAGTTTGGGCGGTGCCAACAGTCGCCTGCAGCAGTCGCTGCTCCTCCAGCAGCAGCAGCAGCAGCATTTGCAGCAGCAGCAGCAACAGCAGCAGCTGGAGCAGAGCAGCAACAGCAACAACATGATGATGATGCCACACAACATGATGTCGCAGACATCCACGACATCCACCAATGAACTGATCGACAATTCCTTCTGCAAGTCCGAGCTGCTCTTCTCGCCCGTTCGGGAGTCGCACATCTCCGTGGACTCGCTGGACATGGATGCGTATCCGGATGAGGGCGAGATAGTACTCACCTGCAACAAGGATAACTACACCATAGCCTTCGAGGGCAGCGTCCTCTACTCGGACGAGAGTTTCTATGGTTAGTAGAGTGCAAGTCTCAAGCGATAAATCCATCTAAAATATCATCTTTCAGAACCCAATGACATGGCGCTGAGGAGCAAACAGAACTGCATCAATTTGCACAGCAATCTGGAGGATATTGTGAAGCGCAACAAGGCCCTGGAGGTATCCATGTCACGCTCGGCCCAGGCATTCCATCCACTGTGTCCACCCATGTCGCCCAAAGCCACAGCCACAGCCACAGCAGCAGCAACATCTGCAGCAGCGGCAAAACTTCAGCGGTAGGTTCACACACACACACACAAAGACACTCTCACACGCACATAATCCTGTGTTCCTGAGTTGGTTTCTGCTAGAGAGAGAGCCAAGATCCAAGAGCTTCCCATGGTCGCCGTACCCGCAGCAATCATCAGCGATCGGCAGCGGGCGGATGTGTGTTTGCTGCCCGCCTGGGGTCACATCAATTGAGTTTAATTTAGTTTCATTTGCTGGAATATAAACGGAATGCCCCTGCCTGGGGGAGATTTCCATATACATAGGGTATTTTTTTTGCTGGCATGTGTTGCCTCTGGCTCAGGCATAAAAGTTAATCCCAAAGAAAAACCAATTAACCCGCGAAAAACTCATTCATAAGCAGATTAAACCTGAAGGAAAATCCCTAAATTATTGTGCAAATAAACCAGCAAGGAATAAACGCCAACACAGGCAGGTAGAAGGCAGACAGAAGAGACCTCCCTCTGGCAGAGACCAATTCCTACCTGTAATCCCTTCATTCCGCCAACAAAAACTAACATTTGTAATCTCAATACACTGGATGTGTCTGGGTCTAAAGACGCTCGGTATTTCTTGTCTCGCCCGCACGCAGATATCCCTCGGGTAACAACAACACGGAGACCATCACCATCACACGACATTTGCCGCAGTGCAGCGTGCGGAAGAGCAGCAGTCTGCCGAATCTACAAAGCGAGGAGACATTGCCAATGACACAAGAGCAGCAACAGGATCGGCAGCAGCAGCAGCAGCGAGTGGAGCAGGGAGCCGCTCCTTTGAATGTCTCACAGGCCATCAGCACCTCAACAATGGAGTCATGCAAGTCGCGCTCGAGGAACCTGCTGCCCATGTGCCAGATGCCCATATCCATAAGCGTTTCCATCTCCGAGAGACTGCAACAACAAACAGATCTGCAGCAGCACCATCACCAGCAACAGCAGCAGGTCACACCCACATCCCATCAGCAGCTGCCACAGCATCAGCAGCAGTCGCATCGTCACAAGCATCATCGCTGCAGTTGCTCCCACGAGAGTCAGAACTTTTGCTCTGGCTCCGTCTCCTCGGGCAACTCCTCCAATCCGCCAGCCTTCAATCTAGTCAAGCTCTTCATCAAACAGAAGAGCACCAGCAGCGGCCACGAGGAGCCGCTGCTCGCCCAGGCCAGCGCCCACACCTGTATGGATGTCTCCTCGGGCTGTTGGCCCTCCAGCGATGCGGCCAGCTCGAGCAGTGGCTCGCTGGAGCAGCGTTTGCGCAAGAAGAGCATGAACGACTCGGGCAAGGGGTCGGCCGTCAGTCGCCACGACGAGGAGGAGGAGGAGGAGGGCGGACACTATGCGGATCAACAGACGCCCCCAAAGCAGCGTCAGCTGAGGGCACGAGCCGATGCAGTATTCTATGATGATGCAGCCAGCTCGAGTTCCACGGGCTCCCTGACGGCCACCAACTCGCCGGCTCATCGTCGTCGCAGCATGCCGCTGCGGAATCCACAGCTCTATCAGCTGGCGGCAGCTCAGACCTCGACGGCCAGTCAGATGTCATCGGAGGCGAGCACAGAGGAGCAACTGACGCAGGTGCCGCGACGTGGCGCAGAGGCTGCCACCACACGGCCCCTGTCCTGTGCGTCCAGCTCCGAGATGATAACACGCTCCATGCAGACATCCTGCGGATCGTTGAGCACCACGCGCAGCAGCCTGAGTGAGCGATACAGATGCGTGCCGCCCTCCTTCCTGGAGAAGCTGAACAATCTCGGGGAGCAGCGGCAGGCGCCCATCTATGTGATCTATCCGAATTACGCGCTGCCCGACTTGGGCTTTGTAAAGACCACAGCCGCCACCCCGGACGTGATCTTCTCGCCCTTCAACTACAAGATGACGCTGGATGGAACAGCGAACAGCTCCGGATCGCTGAAGAAGCCGCGCAGCGGCAACAGCACCAGCAGCAGGCAGAGCATCAACGAGGATGAGCTGTTCAAGACGATGGACTACAAGCACATTGCCGACTGGCAATCGCTGGCCACCCTGTTGCCAGTGGAGTATCGCCGGCGGCTGCAGCACATTCCCGAGGTGAAGCAACTGGTGCGACAACTGGACGCGGATCTCGCCCAGCGGCCACTGTTCTGTATGTCTCCGCCACTGCGGAGGAATCGCACACACATCTGCGACTGTGCCAAGTACTTCCAGCAGACGCAGGCGGGCCATGGCCAGACCCAGCTGCAGGACGAGGGCTCCAGCTCGGGGTCCAGTCAACCGCCCAGCTCGGGCTATCGCGGCTCTTCCACGCTGCTCACCGACTCCGAACTGGATGCGGATGCGGATCCGCTGAAGCAAATGTATGTCTACCAATACGATCAGCAGCAGCAGATGCACACAACGCCACCGCAGCCCATGCCCAGGAGCATCCTGCGCAAGGCCAACTCTGCGCAGGCGCGCACCAAGCGAAATTCCATGATCGAGGGCGGGCAGCAGACGCAGAAGATGTCCAAGCTGGAGAAGCGACGCAGTCTGCAGGAGCCGCCCTACAACTACGCTCTGGGCTCCACCGATGAGCTGCTGGCCGATGTGTTTGAGGAGGAAGAGCAGCAGCAGGCACAGGCCCAGAGTCCGGCGGTGAAGCAGCGGCTTTCGCGCAAGGATCTGGACGCCAGGGCACGGGCGGAGAACTTCCTGGCCAGCCTGCCACGCTCCGAACTGAAGTATTATGCAGAGATTGCCTCCATCTTGGAGACATCCGGCGAACACGTGCAATACGATGCGGCAGCGCTCAAGAAGGAGGTCAGCCGCGTGCTCAGTCAGCAGAAGAAGGTGTCGTTCACCGATGAGGCGGCTGCCGCCGCTGTCACGGCCCTCACCGGCGATGCCAAGCGCTTCTCGACGCCGCCCAATTCGCCCAACATTTCCATGGCGGCAGCAATGCAGCGACGCGAGACCCTGGATGTGATGGAGCAGCGGAAGATCGAGAGCAATCGCTTCAAGCGTCTGCAGATCCAATGGGAACTGATGAGCAAAGACTCGAGCATGCTCAAGGAGCTGGCCTGTGAGGCGGCGACCAAGAGTGGCGGCTCCACGCCCACCTCGACCAACTCGACGGGCTCCAATTCGGCGCCAAGATCAAGGATACCGCGACCAGTTAGCTACCCAGCGGGCAGGTCAGTACTCAAAGCAAAGAACTCCATTTCGCACTGTGAAATTTTATTTATTTTTTGCAATATTTTGTTCTAAATTTTGATTTGTTTTTGTTTCCAAATTTTTGCATGAACAAAATGTTACGTTTGGTGTAGAAGTTCTACACCCACATCGACGCGTACTGCCGCCACTGTGGTGGCCAGCCCGTCACCTGCACGTGTGTCCGCACCAGCCAAGACTGTCACTAAAAGCCACAACAAAACTCTGTCTCTTTTGTCCTCCCCGCGTTTAAGTAGACTAAGCAGCGCCCAGCAGGATGCAGCCAATGGAGGCAAGCCCAGCAGCAGCACACGATCGCCCAGTCGCATTGTACCCCCCAAGCGGTATAGTCTGGCGGGCACACCCACACACACACACACACCCACACCCACATCCACACCCACATCTGCGCCGGCAACAGGAAGGGCGCGCACGCCCACCAATCGAGTGGCAGTAACGGCGCCCAATACGCCAAAGCGACAGGCAGGAGGAGTTGCCCCATCGCCCAGGTGAGTAATCTGTGACGTGTCATGAGACAACAAACTAATCTTTGGCCTTTACAGACCCACCTCGCGAGTGCGTTGAGCGTCCACACACGAGTCCAAGACCAGGTCCAGTCATCCCCAATTAGTCAGCGGCGGACATTGAAGCGAATTACTCAACAAAACATATTCAACAAAAAGCAAAACAAAACAAAAATTAACAATGAAACATTGTAAAATTCTAGACTTAAGGCTTTTTGTGTGCGTGCGGCTCTACTGCTTACATATGTGCATGTGCCCCCCTGGAAAGTGATATATAGAGAGGAATCTGAGAAGGGATCGGCTGAGAAAAAGAGTTAGAGGGGGATATATTGAAGGGTCCGAAAGTGATTGATATTATATTGCGTTGCGGGAAAGTAGCTGAAATTTCTTTTTTTACAAACTATACATACTGAAAAGTCTATACATATGCCAAGTACGCGTAACTTAAACAAATATTTTGATGTATATACACACACACACACACACACACACACAGAAGCAACATATGCATATGCATATACATAAACACATATGTATACATAGACGCTTTTTCCACTAGCCTACTCAGAAGATAGGAGATACAGATACATTTCGCATACGAAAAGGAAAACAAACAAATTGAGGAAATTGTATAAAATATTTTCTATAATGCGGCAGCATACTCGTATAGTAAATAATCGACCAGCAATCGGAGTAAAAGAAGGCAAATGAAGGTTGGAAAAATCAGACCACACAGAGATATTGGCTCAAGATTGGCTGAAAATGATATTTGATCCAGGGTGTATTTTCTTGCTTGTCGGAGATATTAAGAGGGGGGTACGCAGCGGATGACGGGAATAGTTTTTTCCACAATGGCCTTTCAACCACTAGCTTTGCAGTTTATGATTTTCTGATTTGGTTGCGTGTTTTATTTATGCCGAGACTTTTGTTTATAACGAAACGAGCCTTTGCTGCTCTCTCAAAGTGATTTCAAATTGTACGATATATGATTACCCATACTATTAATCTTACTACCTATGTACTTTCATTTGTAACTATTTAAAGCCTATCTGTCTTCTATCCACTCTATCTATGACATAACTATAATTTGTTTTATTTAACTGCTGGAAGACATCCATCTATCTAATTTGTAAGCCCAACAGAAGTCAAAACAGAACACTTTTTCTATCCTTAATTGTATAGCTATTCTTATATATGGTATATACTATATTATGTATTACGTATGGAGCGGAAGAAACACAAACACACACATATTATAGATTTTGCGGGAGCATTCAGATGGAGTATCACCAAATGCGGGATATGCGGGAGTATAATTATGTATTAAACAACAACAAACAAACAAAAACATTGTATAAAAATACAAAAATCAATAAAAAATATTAATAAACATGCAAAAAGTATTACGAAAAACCAATTCGAAATGTTATTTCCACTGCCTGGACATATCTTTAATGTTCCAACTGCTTAAACTTCATTATTTTAATGGAAAATGCCTCAAATGATAGAACAACATAATTGTATAGGTCCCAGTTCTTGGAGTGAGCATGTAGAACTCTCATCTTGGGACGACTACAAAAGAGAGGTTAGAGGTTAAAAGAAAAACAGAATATCCATTAGGAGCAACCTCCTAATATCTGTTTATTGTTTTTCTAAAATATGCCTAAGATATTACAAAAGAAACGAGTTGTTAACATTATATAACACACAGCATATGGCCTGAGGAGCCACTGTCTGTTCAGTTTCACAAGAATTTTGATTGGAAGAATGGGCATCTCGATATTTAAATGAAAGAAATGGTCACGACGTGTCCAGCCCGGATTTATTCGTCAATGTACTGAGTTCACTCATCTACATGGTATCAGCATTATGCAGAATGTCATGTTGCAATGTTATTTGCCTCGTATCTATCTGACAAAGAGCCGTGAAATAAATATGTAATGGGATTCAAGGGATATCTTGATGTAGTCTATGAGAGAGAGCGAAAATGATTGCATTGCGGTAGCCATCGGTCCTGGAAACAGGTCCAGTGCCTCCTTGGAGCCCATCTTTGGAGTTCAGTCGTTGTTCAATAAAGTTGAAAATGCTATTTGCAGCTCTAACATTAGCCATGACAGGCAGAAATGAAGAAATGAAAAATGAAGAAATGGCAACTCAAAGTTGCTGTCTTCAACTTTGGCATTTTTTTTTTAACATTTGTTTGTATGTTTTGGCAATATTTTTAGATGTGAAATCGTTAGCAGCATTTGTTCTTAACAAAATTATCTATTAGTCATGGAATTTTATTGTATATTTTATAGCTATATTGGTCTTGACTAAGTCCAAGTCGCAGTGACTGACAGAGAGATGAATAAGGTCAAACTTGCGCCCATAAAATCTCAACTTATGGTGGGTGTTCGTTCCTCTGTAGGCTCTGTAGACCAAAAGCACCGCTAATTTTGTAGCACATTCTTAATAATCTGTAATGAGCCTCTTTGCAAAGTTATAAGCCAAAAGAATTCAATTTCTCTTCTCTTATCCATAAAAGCCAATTTTCATGCTTAGCTTTTTGAGCACCAAATTGTTGAACGAAACTGAGCATAAACCAGGCTCCCTATTTACAGGCTGGCAACATTATTAAAAGTAATTGTAATTACAAAAGCATATGTGGCGCCTCCCCGGCCCAAACCTACACTCGTGCGCGTACGTGTTGGGTGCCTTTGCATACATTTACCTAATTAAATAAAATAATGAAAACGCAAAAGTTGCCAAAAGGCGCGAAAGTGCGTCTCTAAAAGTTACACAAGAATGGTGCGAACCCTTTTTCCTCTACCCCAACGACCATATTACCAGACACGTAGGAGTAAGAGATGCTGGCTATTAGATACCCTCTTAGGGGGAGCTCTCAGTAAAGATCCTTGAAGATGATGCCACAGAAAAGCGGAATACATCATTATTAATATTGCTTTATTTCTTCTGATAGATTTCCTGCCTATCCACTGCCATTTGGTGCTGATGTACAGCATACCCTTTAACTCTTAGAAGTACAGGGTATACAAAGCTGAAGCGAACCCACCACACGCTCTTCACACATTTGCCTTAAAATTGGAAAATAAAATTACTCAGAAATATTTTCAAATATTTATTATAAGGCATGGCAGTGTGTGTGTGTGTGTGTGTGTGTGTGTGTGTGTGTGTGTGTGTGTTGGCCTGGTAATTATCATTAGCCGTGTGCTAGCGTCTTAACGTTGCGCATATGTACATTTTACATATTTACATACATTCGTACATCTTTTTGGGGTCTGGGATAATTTAGCTTATTCCAAGGATGAAAAGGCAGCTGTGAAGCGGCTGCTGTTGAGCAAATATTTGCACTCTTCCGTTTTGGCTGCGTCTTCGATTGAGATTTGTTGGCCATTAAGTTTGCTCATTTGCGCCCCGCGAGTGCTGCAAAACAACAAAAATGTGCATATGGAATTTTATTTATTTTATTATTGCGCTCAGTTATTTGGAGTGAGTTTGAGTGACTGTTTGACTGTGTTTCTGTTTCCGCTGCTCGAAATGTAATTAAAAGTTTTGTTTAAACTGTTGGATATTTGTATGACTGTAACTCTCAAGAGCAATATGCCTGCCCGGCCGCTGTTGTCAACGCCGCAGTTCTCGCTGAGCTTGTTCCTCCTCCTCCGAGAAAGGGCGGGGCTGGTGGAGTGGGTTGGAAGAACAACAGAGAAAAAAAAACATGGAAAATAAGTCGGTCAAATAAATTTTGCTGTCAGGCGAAAAGCAAAAGTGCATAAAATATGCACACTGCCCTGAGAATGAGGCCTACAATATTTGCATTCACATATTTCTGCTAAAAATAATTACATGCACATGACCCACCCAGAACCGCCATCACCAAAAAACAACAACGAATCCTCCGCTTTGCTTATGACTAAAGACATGCCTCGACAAAGGACATGAGATAGGCGGTCGCAGCATGGCCCAGCCCATTTGTTTATCCTGGATTCGATGGGAGTAACAAAAGGGTATCTTGGATCGGTGCTCAATGCATGAAAGTACAGATATATTTCTATATATATTTGGTTTCTTTCTATGGCGCCCACAATGATCACGCAGTCCCTCCCCTCTCAAGAATTAAGAAACAGCAAAGAAGCAGCAAATTAGAATTTCTTGCCCATCAGCTGGTCTTCTTAGTGGGTATATTTAAGTCGCAATTTGAATACATTGTTTGAGGTTCATACTTATTTAGTCGCTGTGGTTTTTGGCAGTGCCAGGACACGACACGACAAATGCCAGAGAGGCATGGCCCTGGTTGCCTGCCTGCTTTGTTACTGCTGCCGCTGGCAAGTGGCATCATTAGCCCTGGGCCTGTGGACACGCGATGCACCGGGGGCAGCGGGTTGCCCGGGTAAATACGAAAATTCCAAAAATGAAGGAATAAAAGGCCATCAAATAAAATGCAATTGATATACAAAAAAGGGAAACTGTAGAACAACCAAACACTGCCACAAAACACCCAACAACAATGCTTTGTTGGATAGCCTTCTGTCACAGTCACAGTCTGAATTCGCCGCAAGGGGCAGGCAGCCATCGCCTCGGGTGTGCGGCCACACGGCGCATGCTCGACGGAGGCCAGTGCAACCGCAGCGAAAATTTCGACCGCGTTTCGACTGTGGTGGGTCTCTGACCTAGTTCAACATGTTGTCACCCCCCTCCGGTCACATGCCCTGCTCTGTGTTTGCATTGTGGCTGTTTGATTTACAATTTTAATGGACCGCCCACCCACCCAATAACATAACATGAATTGGGTGAGAGGACTCAATTTCCTGTCATCTGGCAGTAGTTGTTTTTATGCGATTCCTTAGGTCTTTCCATCAAACTAAGGTCTAGCCTTGCCCTGCCATCCAACTAGTTCAGGCACATGGCCCGCCACTGAAGTACTCTTCCAAGTCCGACTATTTTCACTTGAGGTTACTACCTGTGTGCTTAATACCCCTGGCACTTGTGGAGTGTAAAGGGTATGCTCTTTATTTATGGCAGAATAGTGTGTGGCTCCTGGAAATGCACCTACAAAATATCGAACAGCCCCTGAAGCACCTGTAGAATTTACAAGCACTCAATTCACAGGCGCCAGGTACTTCCATTGTCGAGGCCTTTTTTTGTTCACTTTTGTACCATTTTTGGGGTAAATTCTCACATGCACTTTAGCTCACTTTCATCAGGTGGTGGCTGGCGGTGGACCAATGCAAAATATGCAAACAATTTCCAATTAAAAATCAATTTTATGCTTCAACTGCGACTAAGTGCAAAATAGTTGTTGCTAGAGCACTCTGTGTGGAGTCGTCACGTCCAACAGGAGGCGTGGAACCACCACTTGCCACCACTGCTACTGCCACTGCCACTGCCACCAGGTTCATAAAATGAGCAAGCATTAAACCAAAGTTTTTCGAGAGAAAACCATCTTCTGCCTTACGCTATGCTGTGGCTACTTTCAAGTTTTCACCGCAAAAAGCAAAGAGCAAAAATTTATTGGCAAAAATTAAGAAAAATACTTGCAATTGGTGCAGCTGTCAAAAGGCTTAACGCATGAAACTTTTAGGAGCGGCAGAGGGATCTCAGGAGGAGTGCAGTGGAGTGGTGGTCAGGGCCAAGAGTAACGGCAGCTGTTGTCGGAAGCCATCCTGACAAACTTGACATGCTGCTAAAGTTGGAAGCCGAAAACCCCACACAGTAGCAGCAGCATTTTAGGAACCAAACAAGCTATGGATACACTTGTACAATGGCAGATAGAACCACTTAAGGGGGCGAGTGCGTCCACTTATCACATTACATGCGTTCAGCTGGCGTAATTGGTAAATTGATTGCCTAATTCCTTGCCGAGCGCTTAGGAAAATTTTCATAAAAACTTTTTATGGCTATGCCGCCGTTCTGTGGCATTGCTACAATTGTTGCCAATTGTTCAAAGAGAGCCGCAGACGTGTGAAGAGTTCTCGAGTCCAGCTGAAACTTTCGTTCCAATTACGTTTACGATATTACGAACATTTCACCCTAAAAAAAAAAACAGAACAGAGCAATCTACGCACAATGTGGCAATAAAAAAGTGTACGTACGAGTACTGGTACTGGTACTGGTGGTACAATTCTTAACTAAAGCTCAAGCCACTTTTGCTCTGGGTTTGGTTCTGCTGGGTGCGGGGTTAGAAGTCAGCCAAAGTGTTGCCAAGTGCATGAGCTGCGGAACATTTCGAACTTTCTGTTAGTTCAAATTGTCAGGGGTGTTAAAAAGTTGCTGCG